AGAGCATAGCTGCGATTATAAATTAACTTAAACCAACATATGCACATATACAAATATGAATATTAAAACACAAGGCATGTGCATGTATGTATGCATACAACAATTATAATAGTCAACTTGTATGCAGATTCACGTGACACTGCTCTTTTGGCTGCCCTTAGCCATGTTGCAATTTGTGCGGTTTTACGCTCTAATTTTCCCACAAAACCCACATGAGTTGTCATTTGTGTGAAATTTGCTAAAAAAAAACATTAACATTTCACAGCATTTCAAAATAGAATAAACAACAAAAGTATGTACATTAGGGCGGAGAAATTTACTTTCGAAAAAAGTGTATGCATATTCCAATTCTACGTTCGTTTCTAAGCAAAAATTTTGAACAAACTACATATATACCAAAAATGGCGTTTGACGCTCCCAATTTTACAAGCTTTTAGTTAACTTGCTCTCCTTGTATGTATGTATGTTTTTAGGGGTAAATCTTGCAATCAATTTTTGACCAACTTCCCGATGACCTAGAGACTTGAAACTTCACAGCTGGCTCATAACCCGATGACAATGCAATACGAAAGAAGTGTTAGTCCGATAGGTGGCGCAGGAGCCAAGATATTTGGAAAACCCGTATTTATAGTCCGATTTGGTGCATATTTACATTAAAAGAAATAACTCCACTAAAATTTTTCCGATATGTGGCGCACGATATTTGGAAAACCAATATCTATGGTCCGATTTCGTTCATATTAAGAAAGCTTGCCTTAAAAATATTTGTTTTTACAATTAACTTATTTAAAAGAAAAGTCAGTATGTTATAATTTTTTCTTAACGAAATTAATTTTGCATTTGCAAACTTTTGTGTTTTCATCATACAATGTATATACTGTCTTTACTTTTGAAAATTGGTGTATTTTGGTGTATAGTTTATTCGTCATTTTAGCTTAGAATTAATTGTAGAATGGGAATTTGCTGTACACTTTCCTCGAAAATTTTGCTCCGAACAAATAACTCCGCCCTAATGTACATACATATCTGACCAATTAATTAAACCTCGTGATTCAATATTTTATGTAATTTCAGTGTATTTTTTTTTATCCGTTTTGCATGTTGTAGGCAAACCATATTAATTCTCCAATTTGCAATTAAATTGCTAGAGGGCTGATAATCACTATTCCTCAGCTAGTTAAATTAAGGCTACACAAAATTTGTTGAAAAAACCAAAAATTCATCCATCATTTATTCCATATTATTCCCTAAAATTCCATACCAATTTATGTTAAAATAAATCAAGTCACTGTTGCTAATTACAAGGCTAAGTGAGTTTTGTTTGTTTCATGCTTTCTCTTAACATCAGCAGCTAATCACACACATACATGCGTATAATTATGCACAAATGTAACTAAATTCGAAAAGCTTTCCCAATGCCATTTGGACTTTTTCATTCCTTTAATACTGTCTCTTAATTACAATGGTAAAATTTTATTTGCTTAATTATTTTTCTATTTGCTTTCATATGTATGCCATTGTATTGAGCTTGGTTAGTTCAAGCTCATGGTTGCACTGACAGGGTCGTCGAGAGGGGGGAATTCAAGGGGTATGAGTAATAAAAATAAATGAGTCGAGTCGAATTTTGAAAAGGCGAATATGATTAATCTTTAATTTTTCTTTCATCTTTCTAGTTAGTACACATGATCGCACCTAGTGCATAATTGGAAGCATCGGTCGTTACGATAAACGGCTAGGTAAAATCTGGGCAGCTGATTACTGGTGGTGAAATTAGCTTCTTCTGCAAAGTGATAAAAGCTTTCTGGTGTTCTTCTGTCCAACTGAAAATCTATTTTTTCTTTAACCAGTGCCCTGCATGTGTCATCAAACCACACTCGATCGTCACAACATATACGCCGATTCAGCAATATGAGCCACAAGTGTTTGATGTAGGTCCGGCACACTACTAGTGGTAGAACGATACGAGTACCGTGTACAGAATATCGATACTTTTCATGAGTACTGAGTAGTATCGAGAACTCGATACTTTTTGACAAGACTACTAAAAAGTATCGACGAGCATTACACAAAAAAATTTGATCATTCAATTACATTCAAAAATTAAAACAAATTAGCCAGTAAATATTGGTTTCAAAAATTATGTTCTATATATGTATATCCAATATTAATGTCATGTAAATGAATATAGCGCTCATTTACTTCAATACTGTCATAACTCAAAAAACCCAAAACTCGAGAAAAACGGATTTAAAGTTGTGAATTTAGTACACACTATACTATATAAAGTATTCTATTTAAATGAGTACTAGTATCGATATTTTTTGAAAAAGTTCTATTACTACACACTAAACTACCAATTACGTGTAAATCCGAAGTCTCGACGTTTTAACGAAGTTTTAGATTGCTTCCAACTTAGTTTGTTCCTAAGGCACAGCCATTGTATTGGATTGCCAACCTCGGCACTGGGAGCATGTGATGTTGTTATACTTATAACCGAAAACCCCAACATACCTCCACATGCTTTGTACACTTCCCGTGATGAACGTGAGTATGAAAGTGTGGTAAGGTTAGGAAATTTTGTACACTGGTGTCATTTAGCCCAACTTAAAATATAGGATAGATTTAATCATGATGTACAAGAGGGCATGGCACCTCCCACGGAATTTTTCATACTGTATATCGCAGAAAACATTGGTGATAGAGTAGTAAAACTTGGTATGGAGATATACAAAATCAATTTCACACTCATGGAGGAGGGCTGCCACCTGTTTAAAAAATCAAATACAACTTGAATTAAGATAATTATTTATTTGAAAATATATTTAAAAATGGATGTCAAAAGGCTTTAAAAGTTGTGGTTTGAAAATATTTTGAAAATGGTTGCCACCTGTTTGAAAAGTTAAATTTACATAAATTAATCGTAAAGAAACCTTCAGATTGTAAGTTTAAAATATTATTGAGGTGTATTACTAAGGTTTCCACCCGATTAAAAAATTGTATTCAATTAATTTAAATGAATTGTTGTCATATGGGGTATAAAGCTAACTGTTTTTGAAAAATGTTTTAGTTCTAAACTAAATGAAAGACGGTTGCCACCTGTTTGAATACCAAATTTTACTTGCATAAGGGAATTAGATAATTGGAACATGTATAACAATATGGGTGTAGACCAAAGGTCTTTAACAAGGTGTTAGTTGAAAAATATTTTGGAGAGGGTTGCCACCTTTTTAAAAGTTGAATTTAAAATAACCCGGGCTTACTAGCTGCTTTATATATTTAATATGACAGCTTTTTGATATTACATAAAATGGTTTTGTTTTTCCTAATAGCTACATATATGTATGTATCCGTTAAGGCAAAATACGTTGAATAAATAAGTGATAGTTTGTAAAGATTTTCTTCATTGACCTGGCAAGCTTCGAACCACTTATATGTTTCTATTAAAAGGGAGCGTTCTGAATTTAAAAAAATTCATTTTTTCTTTTTATTGTTTAAAATGATGATTGATTTTTTCTTTGTTTGTATCTACATACATGTTTACACATGCATAACTCATGATTCAATAATGAAAGGTTTGCACAAAAAACAGTTTTCCCGCCCCTCTTGACAAAACTCTAATGCTACTATTGAGCAAACCTTTAATTATTGAATCATGTGCACTCATGATTTGGAATGAAAGGTTTTGTAAGTAGTTTTTTTTCTAAAATTTTACACTCCCACCCACAGGCATGGTTGTTTGAAGCAGGAGAAAAAGGGAAAGAATTCAATCACACTTCCTAAAATGGTAGCTAAATTTCACAAAAAGGTGGGGATAATAGTGATTTAATTTTTATACCCGAGCGCACTTGTGCACAAGGGTATTATAACTTTGTTCACATAACGGTTGTTTGTAACAGGCAAAACGAATCGAGATAAATATAGGCAAATGTATACATAAATGCTCAGAATGAATAGAGAAATCGATTAAGCGGTGACTGTCTGTCCGTCCGTTTGTGCACACGAGAACGCGAGTAAAAATTGAGATATCTTAACGCAACTTGTTACGTACACTTCTTTCGGGCGTAGGACGGTTGGTATTGAAAATAACGGTAATTTTCAGAAATACGAAAACTGCAATATTTTAGTAACTACTGAAGATTATTCACTCAAAATTGATGTTTACAATAATTTTCAGACGAAAAATAAGAATATAATATATTTTTGGAAAATGGGCGTAGCCACGCCCACTTATGGTTACATGTGTATATCTTGGTAACCGCTGCACCAATTTCTTCCAAACTTGGCACAGTTGTTGGCCTTGGTACAGTAAACCAAACAACCGAAAATTTTTAAAATCGGACAATTACCACGCCCACATCCGATATAACGGTAATTTAGAGAAATACAAAATCTTCGATAAATCAGGAAATATTAAAGCTAATTTATTCAAAATTGATGCTTGCAACAATTCTTTACCAAGAAATACGTTTATGGTAAAATTTTGGAAAATTGGCGTGGCACCGCCCACTTATGATTGCATATAAGTATATCGGTAACCGTTATACTAATTTGTACCAAAGTCGGTATTTTTATTGTGCTCGCCACATATAAGCAAAGCGTTGAAAATTATTTAAATCGGACTAAAATTACGGCCTCTTCTCATATAACGGTAAATTTCAGAAATGCTTCAAACTTCAATATTTCGAAATTTAAGGGCGCTAATTTACTCAAAATTGATATACCCCGGCTTACCATGTAGCGGCAGCTTTCGGAAAGGTGAAAAAACATATATTTAATACTTACGCCGGGTATTTAATGTTTGGCTCCGCCCGAACTTAGCTACAATAGATAATAGTGCAATAGAGTTCGAGCTAGTTGTCACTTCTACCTTATTAAATTTGCTTTGGTACGCATCAGAAACTGAAACGAAAAAAAAATTAACAGGCAAACAATCCGGCTTCATGCCTAAAAAATTTATTTTCTAGCGATTTTACAAATAAAATTCAAACAAAATTTTCAAGAAAACCATTTGCCATCATTGTGCCCAAAATATATTCGAATTCAAACAATTCCTAGACCAGGAGGAATAAACAGAAGTAAATTGCCAAAATGCAGGAAGTAGCGGTTCTGCCTTGGGAGAAGATCGCTTGGAGTGATGAACATGTGCAGTTAATCTATCGCGATTGGGGTCTATTTTACACACGTAAACAACAGCTGGACATTGCAGCAAACTACTATGACAAATCGCTGGAGCTAAAGGGCGACGATTCTCGAGCGCTTTACTTTCGCAGCCAATGTAAGCGTAATATTGCGCAGACGCAAGGGGCGTTAGAAGACAGTTTGGAAGCAGGAGGTAAAGTGAGATAAAAACTAACGTGTACCTCAATTCATTTCGCAACGTTATTTTCCAGCTATTGAACCAAATAATGCTCCAATAAATCTCGAGATTTGTGATGCACTGTATGAGCTTAACCAATTCGAGAATTGCAAAGTCGAGCTACATGACAACACACGTAAATTTTATGGCAAGAAAGTTTCAGCATTCCTGAATCGTTTAATTGTGGTCAATGAAAATTTCAATGACTCCATTGGTGAAACACTTGGCCCATTCATATTGAGAAATGAGAAAATTTTCGCAAAAGTATTGGAACACTTGGAACATGAGAAGTACGTAGATCCACGTCCGCTATGGAAAATACTGCGCGAGCAAGGAAAATGCGACGTGCTTAGCATATTGGAAAAGGAGGTAGAGAAAATTTAAATAAAAATAAAAATACATTGATAAAAACTCTCAAACTTTTCCATTCTACAGGAACTGCTCCTGTCTCCACGTGAAATCGCAAGGCGCGAGCGCGCGTTCAAGGTCTTCAACCAATTATATTACAACAAAAGTTGGATTGATGTGCTTTGTTTGAAGAGTTTACGTGATAATCCTAACCTATTGCTGCCACAGTGCAAAGTTTCCACCCCTTTTCTACACCATCTAACAAACAACAAATATGGGGTGCTGAAGAAATTTTTGGTAAGTTCAGGAACAATATTTCGATCAGCAAAATCTCAGGGAGTATTGATCGGTATTTGCTTTCATTGAGCAGATGAGACTTCAGACAACTTGTGGAGATGTTTACTGGTCACTTCTGGTGGCCTAAAAACCTCACTAGACTGGTAGGCTTACATGACAACCTCATGTTGACCTGCCTTCGCATGGGTTAGGTTGAAGTTTTGGGCAGCGATTTGTTGAGGGACGAAGACCTGAGCTCTTTAGCGCCCAACTAACTTTTGTGTCCTCCACTTCACTTCAGGGCTTGCAATCGGTTTGATAACAGTCCCATCGGTAGTGATAAACCATCTATGGAACTACCGTTCTCTCTTTCTGCTAACGTAGGGGTTAAACCTCCATGGAATCCCTAAAATTTAACTAAATTGAAACTACATTTTTATATTTATATTAGATATATTCTGTAAGAAAGAAGAATACCGATAGGAATACAATATTTAAACAGTCAAGCAAATTTCAACCTCTATGGAACAGAAAAGCCACGAATTATTTTTGAAAGAGGTCAAGAGTCCAAAACGTCTATTTTTTTTTTACAGCATTGATGATCCATTTGAAGACACACCCTACTTCGAAAAGAGAATTTCTCTAAAAATTAAAATTTATACATATAAGTCCATAAATTTGCTTTTTGCTGACTCTGAATGAAGAAAATTTATAGAGATCTAAAGGCTCAGTTAGGCTAGACTTAACTTCCTTAACGTAACTTAATATATTGGCCAGTGTAAGATATTTTTGTTCAGGAAATTTTTGATGTAGCTTATAGGCGGCACAGTGACAATTAGCTGAAAAGGAATACACAAAAACAAAATTTTTCACTTCTCGGTAAGTGGATATGTTGAGTAATTAGTACTCTTAAAACCGTATACATATAAGCCGGTCATTTTCTGGACTGTCTGTTAAATTTCAGCGACCTTCTCTTACCGGATAATATGTCCAAACAATAAAACTCTTTAGATTTTTCAAAGCACAGCGAGGTAAGTTAGCTGAAAAAATATACTGAACACTACGCCCAGTATGGAATTTTATATCCTGAATGCGATTACTTACTTAACCCAGAATGTACAAAAGATCTTTCGATTTGTTAATAAATTCCCAAAGAATCTTGGAAGACAAAATCCATATTTTAATATTTTCAACTCAGGTCAGGTGTCACATTAGACCAATTTGCACTATTAAGTGGATCCGTTCTCATGAAGACAGTTAATGATTTCTCTCTTTTCCGAAACCGAAATATTCTAACTATTAACCAGCTACTTTGTGTTTCATGTTTATATGTATGTATATCATTTATTCTTAGAAAATGCTTCAAGCTCGCAGTCCATTTTATAATGAACAAATGCTTAAGTGTCCGGATAAGAAAGTTTGGGAAAAACATCGTGAGACACATTTGAATCATATACAATATCAGACGCGTCGAAATATGCTAACGATATTGCGTACGATTCGCCAACTTAGGGCCAGGGGAAAACTTGACGTAAGTATTGACTTTTTTATTTGTTGCATATGTATGTAAAATGTCTTATATCTACCCATATTAATTTATAAAATTATAGAAACTCAGTAAATACATCGAAGAAGTTATGGGCGATTATATAGTGCTAAAGACACATCGCGTCATGCCCTGGAAATTCGAATTTTTGAATGAAGTGTACAACACATTGGCGCTGGCTTATATCGATCGTTTCATTCAACCGAGTGATTTGTCATCGGCACAAAATAATGCAAGTCACTTAATGCGATTGCTACGTATTCCAACCGATAAGAGCAAAGATCGTCAAGTGAGCTTTGTCTTCGGCGATAAATCCACCTATCAGGAACCGGATGCTATCGACTATACAATGATCGCTTACAAGTATGTATGACTTTTACACCTAACCATATTACAGAGTGAATATGTCGAGCACAATCTGAAAAGCAATAAGAAAAACTACTGAGCCCGCATGGCGTTTAAACGCCCTAAAGTTAAATTCCCTAGAAACTATTCCAAATGTTAGTCAGAGTTATAAGCTATTCGAGTGTCATATTTCATCTAAATCCATGCAGGCGTTTCCTAGTGAAGAGAGGGCTCGCATATTGCCGGTTTTCAATATCATAAAACCACACAAGAACGGTGCAAATCTAATGACCTTGGCACCCATTTTTTCATATTTCGTAAACATTGGGTATAAGTTTACAAAATTCGACTTTTCACAGGTAGAAATCCTTTTCAAAAGTATTTTCAAACTAAAATCTTCTTACAATTAAGTTATGAAGTAAGTTGAATTTGATTTTCAAACGCGTGGTAACCTTCCTAAAGAAATATCGTTTAGTAATTCATCTAAATTTTTAAATATGATATTGAATGTAACTTTTTAAGCAGGTGGCAACCTTCTTCAAACGTAAATGTGAAAACTAAAGATGTCTTAACACTCTTTCGTTAGACACCCGTATTTTAATATTTCCTATAACTTGTATATAAATTAGTTAAATTCAACTTTCAACTTTTTCAAACAGGCGGAAACTTTTCTCAAAATATTTTCTTAAATAACCTTCATCTGACAGACATCTTGATATATATTCTAATAAACTGATGCATAAGTTGAATTTAATTTTTTTTACATGTGGCAACCCTCTAAATATAGTTTGGAAATATAGCCTTGTCAAACCCATTTGGAGTGGTACCAATATTTGAATAAAGTATAAACTAAACTTTTTAAGTGGGTGGCAACTCTCTTTAAGCACCTAAAAAATATTCTTAGTGTTCGAACTAAAGATTTCTTACACTCTTATGTTGGGCATATTTTAATACTTCCTTGTTTACAAGTTAACTGAATTCGACTTTTCACACAGGTGACAACCCTCTCCAGAAATTTTTCCAACTAAAATCTTATAAAACCTCTTTGGTCTGACACCCATATTGTGATACATATCTCAATTATTTAATTCCTCTACTTCAAGTAGAATTTGATTTTTCAAACAGGTAACAACCGTCCTTCATGTAGTTTAGAACTTAGACCTTTCTCAAAAACATTTCGATTGACACCCATATTGCAGTAATTCATTTAAATTAATTCAATCTAATTTTTAATCGGATGGTAATACTAGTAAAACACCTAAATAGTCTAAATGTTTAATCTGAAGATTTCTTAACCATCTTTCGATTCACACCCATATTATAATTTTTCAGATACATAGCTTGCGAATAATTAATTTATATTTTACTTTTTAGCTGGCAACCTTTTCAAAATATTATTAAACTACAACATTTTTAGGCCTCTTGATATTCATTTTTAACCGACTTCCAAAAAAGGAGGAGGTTATCAGTTCGTCGGAATATTTTTTTATTTCTAACCGACTTCCAAACAAAGAGGAGGTTATCAGTTCGTCGGAATATTTTTTATTTTTATTTTTTTTTTTTATGTCTGTTACCGCATAACTTTGGACCACGTCAACCGATTTCGATAATCGGTGCATCGGAAAGGTAGTGTCTCAGAGGTGGTCCCATACTAATCTGGTTAAGATCCGATCAGTGGATCATGAGATATATATATATATATTTTTTTTTATATGAGAGTTGAAGTCGGTTTTTTTTTGCTAAAAATTACTTGTTTAATATAGTTTTCAAATAAATAATTCCCTTAATTCAAGTTGAAATTTACTTTTTGAAGAGGTGGCAGCCCTCCCCCATGAGTGTAGAATCGATTCTATATATCTCCATACCAAGTTTCAGTCCTCTATCACAAATATTTCCCGCGATATATACTATGAAAAATTCCGTTCATATGGGAGTGCCACGCCCCCTTGTACAATCGAGATTAAAAGCTACCCTATATTTTAAGTTGGGCTAAATGACATCAGTGCACAAAATTGCATCATTATTGGTTAAGTAGTTAAATCGTGAAAGCGTAACAAATAAACAAACTCACTTTCCGATTTATAATATTTCTAAGGATACTACCCTTCCCGCCTTTAGTTCATACATTTTGAAATATTTCTGCTTTAAGATTGTATGAACTAAAAGTGTGAAGTGTATGAAAAATTTTTGAAACACACGAATAAATCAATATATTTACAAAACTAGGAAGCAAATAAAGTATAACTGCGTTTTTAATTTTTCTCTATGACGTCAGGATTTTTTTAAAGGACTTTGAAATTTCTAGGATATGATTGAATAAAAAAATGATTTAAAAGATTTGGTGCATTGTAGAGTAACAATATGGGTATCAATTAAAAGGAAAAATTCTGTAGAATTGGAAAAAAATTTATTTTTTTGTGCACCAAGATGAATAGTTGTTGAAAATGACCATTTAAACGTTTATCCTTGAATATCCAATGTTTATTTTTGAAAAAAATATATGTCAAGGACTAATATGCAAACTACCACATTCTCGAATTTCGTCCTTCAAACTTTATTAGTTTTAGACAAAAAAAAATGTACACTTCCCTTTATAAGGTATTGATAGTTACAATATGCATAAATGAAGATACTGGAATCAAGAGGAAAGATTCTTACATTTTGGAACATTTTATCATATTAATATCACGCCGCGCCAGATTGGAATTGCCCATAAGAACATATGTACTTTTCCTTAAGCACATCAAAAGAATTTAATAAAATACTAATATTTTTAATATCAGCTACAATATATTGTTATTCAAATTAACTTTCTAATGTATACTTAAAATTCGATACGATACAAGGGTTCTGGTTCTAGGTTCCAAAAACTATCGTTTGAAAATTATCGAGTAAAAAGTATATTTATTGAAAGGCAAAAATGTCGATATGGCATCGTATCGTATCGAATTTCGTGTCCCTACTTCTGAAGGCCACAAAACCAAACGTGAACGTGATTTGTTGGTGAAAAAGATGGAAAAAATTAATTTTGGGCGGGACGAAGTTCGCCAGGTCTGCCAACATCATAATTTTGAATTTTTCTACTATTTTTGTGTTCGCAGGTGTAGATATTTTGCCTACCAGGAAACTCATTCAATAGAAGAAAGAAAAATGTCTACGAAATTGCTGTTAAAAGTTCTTTAGCATATTTCTAATAATACACTTGAACTCTATTCTCAAGTCAATATTGTTTTCACTTTATCTTCTAGAAAATATTTGGCTCGCTTGGAGAAACGTATTCACTTCGCTAAATACTCGATTGAAAAATGCTATTTATTGCACGAGATCGCCCGCAGTCATCTGAGACAGAGCCGATTTGACGAATGTGTTTCCGTGGCTCGTAAAGCTATTGAAGGTATGTATGTACTATATATAGTAGGTAGCTCTCCCGAAATTTAGAAATCAATTGAAAGACGTTAATATATTTTTTAATATAATTCATTGGCACATTCAATAAAAATCTTCTTTTCTAAATTTTTACTTTTTTGAAGTCTAACAATTAATCAAATTTCTTTTGTGCTAACAAGTGCTAAAGTACTACAGTACTACAGTACTCATATATTATACCGCCTATTTAACTACAATAGCTCTGTTCCACACGTTTTCTGGGCTGGGTTCGGTATTGGGTTTTCTAATTAAAAATTACTTTCTTATAAATATCAAAACTTTTCAAAAGTTCCCAGAGCTTTAGAAACGCAACAAGTTCGAGCCTTCTTTAAAAAAAAAAACTTAAAACAATTTCGAAACTAAACAATTTAAATTTGTATGAATAACTCCCTTAAGAAAAAAATACAATGTTCGATAGTTTCTTCCTATGTATATTTATATATATTATATATTTCCCAATTCTATCTAGAATCGAAAAACTGCAACAGCAACGTTTGGCGCTTCTTAAGCACCATACTTATATGTAAGGCCCATACAGTTCTTCACAAGGTGGAACGTGCCAAGGAAATACTAGATGAATCCTATGCGGTGGCAAAGAGTTTGAATAGCCCTGAATTGATGTCTTTCATTGAGAGCTGTCGCCAAGTGAATGAGGCAGAAATATCATTGAAAAAGCGTTATCAGTCAACGGATTCGATCCGCAAGCGCAGAAGCAAAGTTTCGCTTGAAAGCCGCACCTCACAAATATCACAACGTAGTAGTGAAACAAACGATGAATTAAATGCAGCATAATATTGATATTCGAAAATTGTTGAAAAGCTCAACGATTAAAAAATATAGAAACTAAACAAATTTATAAAAATTTGTTAGTGATTTCATTGAATTTTATGGACCTTATGTGTAAGAAACTAAGGGAAAGAAAAATTAGGCTACTACCATCAACTTTCGCGTAATTATTGATTTTTTGCATCAAATATCAACAGGAAATAATGATACACATACGCCTAGGCGGGTATCCACGTGTTTGTACAACTTAAAAGGAAAACAATATTAATTGATTAGTCGTAGCCTTATACTTCCCACCGCAATTTCTTCGTCTACGTAAGAGTAATTAAAAATATTCCCGGACAAATTGAAGTATAGGATATTTCGTTATTTTAAACAGCATAGCTTTCCGATGGCATATCATTTATCTGTAATGGATTTATTTCAGAGTAGACAAAAAAATTTTGCCAGATTGACTGAGCATTAAGTATAAGTAAAACAAAGTATGAATCACTATGATAGTTCACGCTTTCGTAAATTTCTTAATTGTTTTGACTTCCTGTTTAAATGTTATTGAAAAACATATCGTTTGGAATAATATATATGGGATGCTATTTTTTTGGGCATCTTTGGGGTAGATTGAGTCTTGAGTTTCCACGAAACGTTTGGTGAGCATCACAAGCAGGGTTGCCAGTTTGGTAAATTGTTACTAAAATTGGTAGAAAAAATTGGATTGGTAAAAAGGTAAATTTTTCTAATTTTTGTAGGTTTTTGTTGAAGTATTCTGCTTGAAAAACAATTAAAGCTTATAGTTCCCGCTTTATTTTTTGTAATTATTATAATATTACACATTTCTTTTCAGGTGTAGTCTATAGACTAAAGTATACTTTATTGCGTTCATTTTCGAACGCTTTAATGCACACTTTTTATATACATTATATATGTAACTTATACCACCTTAATTTATTTATTTTATTTATTTCATTTTATTTTTTTTTTTAAGCTTCGATTCATATTCAATAAAGTTTTATTGTTAAAACCAAAAACCAAAAACTAATTTTCTTTGGCACTAAAGGGGTTTCAAACTCTTGGAATTTTTTTTGCTCAAAGAATTGAGGCCTAACTACGTACAGCTTTGGCATTGCGTTGGCTTCATCAGCTGACTATGAATAAATGAATTCAAATGCAGCAGTCTACATAGCCAACATTTGGCAACGCTTACGCCAACACAACGAAGAACTCATATCTTTTCGCGTGCGTCGCTCGTCAGCTGTTGCAAATAACAAAAAAAAATATGTGAAATATTTTTATTTTTTTATTAAATGCGCGCAAGAAATATCGTTTTTAAAGCTATTATTGATACGAAATGTTAATTTATCAATCGGTAGTATGTTAATTTAGTGGCCAAAGTATTCGCTGTCATGCGTTCATTGTAGCAAGTTACTCGCGCTGCTGTCAAAGCGACGCCAACGCTCAAGTTGTATGTATACCGGTCTTTATAATTTAATGAGTACGGTTCACTTGAATATGTATGTATGTAGATATGCTATTAAGTGCTGACTTTTTAATCCTGTCATTTTTTCACTGTCTCTGACTTTTTATAATCTTTTCTTTGAACTCAATTTAGCTTTATATTTTGTGGTCACACTATGACCAAAAAAATTTAATTATTTACAAATAAAATATTTTTTCTTTCAATAAAATTCTGCTTCCCTTTAACCATACTTAAATTCACAAACTCACTTTCCCATTCTTGCCATACCAAATTTTGAATTCGTATCAAAGCCTCACCAGGCGTAAGTTGAACATCAATATTAAGACCTCTGTTAACAGCCGCTTTAGTTGCAACATCAGCCCTCTCATTCCATTCAACACCTACATGACTCGGAACCCACAAAATCTGAACATGTTTATGTATATGTTTTGATCTGAAATTTTGTTTGTTATTTTATTGTTTTAAAAAAATAAAAAAAATTAAAAAATTTTTAAATTAAAAATGAAAAATAAGAAAAATAAAAAAAAACAAAAAACTCATAGATAAAAATTAAAAATTTAAAGAAAAGGTAATTAAAAAAAAAATAAAAAATAAAATATAAAAATTTTTAAAAAAGAATAAAAAAGTTAGTTAATTGATTGATAAGAAATGGAATGATAATTTTTTAAAAATATATATATATATGTATTTAAAATTTTTTTGTTTTTTTTTTTTTTTAAAAAAAAAGAGAATTTAAAAAGACTTGTTTAGATTTTTAAGTATTTATATGGTTTTTTAAAGGGAATATGTTATATGAATTTTTTCCTTTTTTAATGTTTAAAAGTATTTGCCTTCCTTTATATTATAACTTTTATGGGTATTTTTAAGATGTTTCTTGTTTTTCGTTTTTATGTTTGTACTTTCATATGGTAATACCTGTATGTTAATCTTTTGCTTGCACTGCAACGTTTTTGAGAGTTATTTGGCAATACTACTTTTGTCTTCTGGATGGCAACCCTGTGTTACAATTTTGCATACTTGTGCTGCTTCCACATTTGATATTTCGACGAAACGCATAATTAATTAACAAGGATAACCTGGCTTTCTAAGGACTTTTTGTATAAGTTCCTTGCTATTTTTTAATGCTTATGAGCATTGTTTAGTTCAAAAAAAAAATAAAAATTCTGCTTCCGGTTTTAGCTCCAGTGGAAATTCAGCATTATTCACAAATAAACCTCTTTTTATTGTTAATATAATTGTATCAGGTAATAAGAGAGTACAAAGTGGTATATATCGAGGGCATACCTAAATTCAATATATCGCGGGCATACCTATATTCAATACGACCACTATCTGCAGTTTATTTGAAAACTACTTTCTCATAATAGTACCCATCTGAGACTTAACTATCCTCACTGGTTTTAATCTAATTTTAAATTCAATAGCTAATTCCTCTGAGAAGCGATATACAAGGTAGGCATTAACATTGTCGATTGCAGTTAAGTCTAAGGTGGATTTTTGGAGGGGAATCTCATTTTTTTATGAAAGCTCCAGACAGATCGTATTGGCGCGTATTCATAGTCCAGCTACTAAGCCGAAACTAATAAAGTTGCAACATAATTTAAGTACCAACTTAAAATTCACTTCTATTCATAATCGCATTTCAGACTTCCACTAAGTAGTTTTAATACAGCAAACCGAGTGTGAAAATGTATAATTTTTCTTTACGATATTTTGAAAAAATGACATAAGGTATCATTTTCTTGTTAATTGTGTGAAATAGCCAGAACAACCGCACTGATGTGCAGTCGATGTTCATCGAAAGCATGCTGTGAAACATGCAAACACATATCTAAATGTTATGCACTAATTTACTCTAAAAGAACAAGCGTGAAATCGACTTATTATTTGAGAATTTATCTAAATCATTCCAGTTATAAAATTGTGATGTAGATTTATTCGAATTGTAATGCGCATTTAATTTCATCTTCCGATTCAAATGGATCGCTTTTTGTAAATTTTAATTTTAGATCATTTAATATTATCAAAATCACGCTCTACTTACTTAATTTTTACATACATATTCCGTCTCTTTTCCCTTAATTTAATAAAATACTTCTTCCTAGTTACGACTTGGTTGCAGCTGCAGCCGAAACTTAATTTTAAGTTGGTACTTAGCCAGAAAAGTCGAAACTAATGCGACTATGTATTGTTTTAGTTGTAACTTAAGATAGTTTTGACTTAGTTGTGAACTAAATATGACTATGAATATGCGCCATTGTTTTTACATCAATATGAGAATTTAAGCTCGGACTAAATGTCAAGTAGCAAAATTTTTTTTAACGAGTTGGGATTTTTTCAATGAATTTTTTTTTTTTTTTTTAAAGACGACCAAAGAGTGTATGTATCTTCTTTTTTTCGTGAAAAATAAAATCATGTCACGGAAGGCCCGGTTGAACTTTTTATTATTGTGGTTTCTGTTATAGATTGAATTATATTTTAAATGAAAATTATCAAAAATAAATAAACATATGTAATTTGCAAACAATATCATTTTGAATTTCATTGCTGATTAGTTGATCGCATCTGTACGTACATACATGGCTAGTGTTTAGTAGACAAACTATTTAACTTTTATTAAATGTCATCAATATTTTCTTTGTATGTTAATTCTTTATTGATGAAATCCACATATTTATAATTCATGTGTATCGTTTTAATTTTGTTATAGTACAAGGTATTTATTACAATCGATATCCTAAAATTATGCTTAAATCAATTCAGTTATATTTAAAATGTTAACAATATTTTTGTTTTCTTATTTGGAAGGAATGATTCTGATGAATTAACGAACGGCGTCTTGCTGTACCTTTGTTCAATCTTTACCTAAGACAATGGACACACAGTTTATACAAATATTATAATAAGGAGAAAAAAATAAAATTTAAAAATTTAACGAGAAATTAAAAGATAATTAAAAAACAAGTAGTAACAAATACATATCGTTCATTTACTTCAAGTGTCATAATTTAAAGTATACAAAATCGAGTTAAGTATGCAGAAATGAACGCTATATGTTCTTCTATTTATGTGAAAATTTAATAGCTGTACCGTCGGCTGAGTGGAAGATCGTCCTATCTCGGCTGCCGGTTCGGAAACGCCCTATCTCAATATAAATTCAGTATTCGGCCGCTGAGATAGGGCATTTCCCCAATTTAAACATGGAACGTTTAAAACCTTCATATTATCAGGAATAAGGGCTGTTTACAACTAAAGGCCAGTATGCAGCTCTCCAGAAAATGGAAAAGAAAAAAATTGCCAGTATTTCGTGTGTGTGTCCATGGAATTCTGATACTTCACATCCTGTTGCCTCACTCTTTCCTCAAGAAATAATGGAACGGGCATATATTTCTGTTGCAAGCATGGGTTACCTTGTGCTCTTTTTTTATAAAAAAAAACTTTAGAAATCCGTCTTAGAAAGCGTAACAAATTTCTTAACAACTGTGTAGCGCCTTAAGGAAATTTAACACAAGAAAATTTCTTAGCCATTTCT